AACAATTCGCTTTTATAAGAAAATATAAGAACGTTGGGATGTTTGTATATCAATTTGTACGTTATTCTTAAAAATTATGAATTTTATTTGAAAAAAAAAAATAAAATTTCAATAATTAAATATTAAATTAATATTATTTTTTGTATTTTCATCAATTAAATTAAAATAACAGTTAAAATTTTATAAAGAACCGTTATCAATCATTTTCAAGACTTAAAACTAGCATATGAATTAGTTGGGATATGTGGCGAAATACTTGTAGAGATTCTGCCATGTGGAAATGAAAATGATGGTGAACATTCTTTGCGATTGCTTACAATTACTAGGAGGCATCCTCTAAATTTGCAGGATAACTATATTAATTGTAAAATTTGAATCTGCAGTCTACGGAGGCGGTCAGTGAACGACGTTGTGACTGTCATAGACCTAGATGTAGGTTTTGTGATTTTTGTGGGATGTCACAACAAGCCTTATATAGGCTGCAGTGATTAGGTTTGCTTGTTAATCGACACCCCTTGAAATCTAATCTAATTGAATGCCGTCAAGAAATGTGCAACATAGAATTGCGGGAGCTTCTGAAAGTGAAAAACTTGTGTTGATACATATAAAAAGAACATTAATTATACATTTCGGCTTTTTAGAAAATTGTGTAAACGCATTGGATACGCTATAAAAAATTTCAAACTTGGTAAATTTTTTTTTTTTCTAAAAACTTTTTTGAATATTTTCTTCTAAGAATTTTTAAACAAAACTTTTGAATCTTAACTTAATATGTAGGCATACATTATGCATAGTTATTATATAAATTTGTATGTACGTATGCATTTACTTATTTTCAATCTTATAAAGTATAGGTAAGCATGCGAAGTAAGCAATTGCAGTGTAATAGAATTCAAATATTAATAAAATAAATAAACCTTGTACCGTGCATTTATTTTAAGTTTTACTACAGTGACGTATATAATATTTTGATGTACATATGTATATGTATGTGTACAATAAATTTACACTATTATCTACATGTTTACAATATTACATTTTATTTATATAAATTCTATTTTAAATACATACCTACACACATGTGTTTATACATAATAATATTTACCTTTTATAAATGTTTACAATTGATTAACTTAAAAATTTATTTGAGCTTATACGAGTACAGTTATTATAATAGTACTGTTTCACTTATATGTGTATGCATATACATATTATGTGTGTATGTTGGGAAATATATAGGATACACAGTGTAAAAACATTTGGGTGTTATAATATTTTATAAAACTATAAAGTCATAAAGTAAACTTGTATGTAAAGAAGCTTACAATGTGTTTTTTTTGTTATTTATGTAAACAATTTGTTATTATAAAAGAACATTGGATACATATAAATGTAAAGTGATTTTGTAAAAGTGTTATAATTTTGATTTTAATTCAAAATACCAAATAAATATAATTTTATATAATTTATGTATTAAAAGCGACTGTGAAAATGTCAAATAATGCTTTGTATAAACAAAACAGAAATGGGTTAAGAAGGCAAAATTATTTCACTCGAGAAATCAAAATATTATTAAACTCTCCACTCGCAGCCAGCCATGGCTTATTGTAATTCCGCTTATACCGCCTATACTATCGCGGTCCCAAATAAATACTCGAAGATGTCTCTCGAGGAGTTTTACGCGAACTACCCAACACTGAGAAGACACCACCCAAGCCATTCAAACCTTGTGACAACCATACATAATATGTATGGCCGTCTCTCCTCACCACGTCAGCAGACTCTAATAGTAAGAGTAATATTATTTGTAAGTGTACTCGTATTACAGTTGAAATATTCTATTATTTTCCTCATAACCTCAAATCTTAGAGTACAAAGTTAAATTAATTTTTTATTTATACAAGTTTTAAAATTCTTTTTCTTGTTTTTACTCGTAGATTATTTGTGTCGCGGATGACTTTAAAATATTTTTAGTTAAGCTAATAAATCTTTCATTGTACGCTCATAAAATGCTACCAGATATTTTTATTAAAATAAACATTTAAATTTAAAAAAAATGAAAAGAAAAAACAAAGCAAAAAAAAGTAGAAAATACTAGACAAACTGGAGCGATCTATAAAGGAAATTTTGCTTTAATCTATATAATTTTTTTTTGAAACGTTATCTTTATGTATTTGTTTTTCAATGTGGTATGAGCGTGCGGTGGGTATTTTATACATTTTTTTTTGTAATTATTAAAGAATTTTTTATAATTTTTCATATTGCATATTTAATATTTAACGACTGCATTGGATACAATGAGGGCGGCTGTAATGTGATAAAATCAATTTTCATATGTCGAATTTTCACAATGGAAATGTATTTATTCGTAATTGCTTTGGCTTTCATCGATTCATTATGATTCCGTGATAAATCGATCCACTTTTGGGATTGTCAGGCCTTGCGACAGAAATCTATCAGGAAGTCAATAGGAATGTGGGGCAGAGCACCCTAAGAATGCGGGTCGCCAGGGGATGCCCAAAGGTGGAATTCTGTCCCCGCTAATGTGGAGTTTGGTGGTGGATGAACTCCTTGACGAGCTGCTTCGTCAGGGAATTGGTGTCCAGGCTTATGCCGATGATATAGACATCATCGCTAGAGGTAAGTTTGAGGGAACTCTTTGTGATATAGTCTAAAGGGGATTACGGGTGGGCCGGGCCTGGTGCGATACTGTGGGCCTCAGGCTCAACCCTAACAAGACAGCATTGGTGCCTTTCACTAGGAGAAGGAAGCTGGAGCATCTGCGCACAATATACGTGTGCGGAGCGGCTGTAGAGAGAAAATATGAGGTCAAATACTTAGGAGTGGTGTTTCATTCCAAGCTTCTTTGGCGAAGTAACGAGGAAGCTGTGTGTACACGGGCAACCCGGGCACTTATGGTTTGCAGGGCCATCTCGGGCAGGTCGTGTGGCTGCTCTCCCACGACCTGCCTGAACCTGGAACGATTGCAGAGACTCACATGCATCTGCATCACAGGGGCTATGAGAACTTGTCCAACCAAGGCAATGGAGGTGATTTTGGGACTAACCCCCTTGCACTTTGTTGTGCGGAGAAATAGAGCCGGAATAATCGGTGTGAGAGATCCGGGTCGCCTTTCGGGGAGGTTCCGCTCCTATCGATGCCTCGGGACGACATGGTAAGGGGGTACAGCTTCGAGAAAAATTTTGCCTCGTTGCTGAGTAACAGAAGGACTGGGAGCGTGACTTTTCGGGCCGCCCAGTTGGAACGCACGTTATTAGATGGTACGCAGATAGGTCAAAGACCAGTATTGGAACGGGTGCGGGGGTATTTGCGCCAAGGACCAGATTCTCCGAACCTATGGGAACTTTTCCGAGGGTGTTTCGGGCTGCGTTGCACGCCATTGAAATGTGCGTGCGGTTCAGCCTGGAAAGGGGGTATCGGGGACAAGAAATAATGATTATGTCGAACAGCCGGGCTGCGATCGGAGCGCTGAACTCATTTTCAGTATCCTCCGCGGCAGTATGGGGCTGTCTTGAGAAACTCAAAGAAGTAGGCAGATGCAACCTGGTCACACTGTGTTGGGTGCCGGTCCATGTGGGCGTGGAAGGAAATTAGGCCGCTGAAGCGCTTGCAAGGAAGGGGGCAAACACACCTCTTCTTGGGCCGGAGCCCTTCTGCGGAATCGGACCACATACTATTCGTTGGGAATTAAAGAAGGAATCAGAAAGAAGGCGGTCGGAGCGCTGGAGAAGTCTTCCGGGGCTGCGGCAAGCCAAGGAGCTCCTTTGAGATTATGACCAGAAGCGATTTAAGAAAATTATAGGGATGGGCAAGAACCAAGTGAAAGTCGTCACCGGCATTTTGACGGGTCACTGCAGGCTTGAAATGAGGATGCAAATGAGGATTCTTGCAGATTCTGTGGGGAGTATGGAGAGACCTCGGTGCACTTTCTGGGGGAGTGTGATGCTCTTGCTCGTGGGAGGGGGGAGGTGCTGGGAGGCTTTGCTCTAACGGTGACGGAGTTACGGTCTTCTGGTCCTCACAAGTTGCTTGAGTTCATCAGGAGGGTGGGTCTCGAGCGTGTGTTGTAGGGCATGCTCCGCATTCGGATGGGGGCGCACAATAGATCCTTATACGTGGTCGGGGTGCACTGTTGCCCCCTGTATACAAATCTACAAATCTACAAGTCAATAGGAATCTGAAAACCTACAAGTTTTGGGGAAATACATAAATTTATAAGATATATATAATAAATCATATAAAATGTACATGTATTTAAATTTTTGCTTTTAAATTTCAAATAAATTGAATTTTCAAAAAACTTTATTAAAATGTACCATATGTACAATATAAAATGGTAACAATGTAAAATATAAAATGGTAGAGTTTATTTGTATTTTTTAAATTAAACAATATTTAAAAGAAAATTTATAATTACTTAGAGACAAAATATAAAAACAAATTGGTAAATTATATACTTATAAATGCAATTATTAACAATAACAGTATCTTAAAAAAATGTTTAAATTCTAAATTAATTTTTAAATTCAACAAAAAAAAATTTTAAGTTAACATTATTCGTTTTATGTATATGCCTTTTTAAAAAAACATTATTATTTCTTCTTTGATTTCGATGATTCTTCATTTAATAATTCGATAATTTCACTAAAACCTAATAATACTTTGCTTACAAGATCTTCTAATTTATTAACTCTATCAGTTAAATTTTTTAGATCTCCAATAAACTTGTCATCTTTTTTAATATTTTCTTCATTTTTTTCAATAATTTCAAAATATTTTTGCAATTTTTTCTCTTTTTTATCTCTAATATCACGTTTCGGTGATTCTTCGGGAATATTAATTTCATTTTCAATAGTTTCATTCTCATTTTCATTTAAAATTTCTGTTTTTTTATCATTTTCTTCTGAAATATTGTTTTCATTTGACGGTTTTTTCTTATAAAAACATATAAAATTCAAAAATATTTTAAAATTTTTCTTTAAAAATTTCATTAAATCAATATCACTTTTTGTTATATCAGATTTAATTGCTGAATATGAATCATTAATAATAGCTAAAAACATATTTAGTAAAATGAAAAATACTAAAAATATGTAAGATAAAAAGAATATTGGTCCAAGAAAACGATTTGTTTCTTCTAATGCCGGATAATTAAAATCACCTAATATCATTCGTACCATTGTTACACATGTTGTTGAAAAATTATGAAATTCTTCTAATTTTGTACCAAATAATAATAGACCAAGTTGTACGAATGCCAAAAATATTATTAAAAACATTATACCAAAACCAAATATATCTTTAGCACATGATTTTAATGTATAACTAAATTGTATCATTGTTTTATTAAAACTAATATATTTAAATATTTTAATCCATATTAAAAATATACATATACCCATTATATTATTATAATGAAATTCCCAAAAATCAATAATATCAAAATTAATAAAATCAATTGTATTTTTTATATTAATTTTTTCAATATAATTTTTTAAATATGCAAATTTCCATATATTAAAAATTAATGATAGTATACCAAATATTAATATAATTAAATCTAATGCATTCCATATTGATAATAAATATTTTAATTTCATTTTAACCATTTCAATTATTTCAATTTTTAAATAATAAAATGTCATTGAATAAAATATAATTAATGATATTATTAAAATATAATTAAATATTGTATTTAAATTATTTAAAAATTTTATAATATGAATTTTATGCCATGGTATAACACCACCAGTTGGTGATATTTCAATATAAAATTTAATTAAACAAAACATATCAATATTTGCATTATATAAATTAAATTCTAATATTATTAAACGTGTTCCCTGATCAATCCATAAAATATTTTTTAATTTTTTAAAAATTTCTTCATTTTCATAACGAGTTAATTTTAAATTTTCAATATAACATTGTGTAGGATAAAATTCTAATTTACCCCATATTTGATATGAATTCAATTTAAAAAATTTTGATCCTTTATATTCAGTTTCGATTTCTTGATTTACACTATTAAATCGTCCATAACATGTTCTAAAATGTTTTTTAAATGCATTATGAATATTACAGGTATTATTACGAACACGATATTGACGTAGACGTGGTGTACCCAATAATATATTCATATTATTAAAAAATGGTGATTTTATTGTTGTAATATTGTCATCAAAATTATTTGTAAGTTGCTTAATCCTTTTATTAATTGATTTATGCTTACTGGCAACATATTTACTGTCATTATTATTCGAATTATGATTTGTTTCGATTCCATAAATACCATCAAGAAATGTAGTATCCATAAATGTCCAAAAATCAGCTACTGTTAAAATTTCATTATAAAAGAATTCTAATTCATTTTCACTTATTATTAAACGTTTAGTAAAAGTACGTTGAATCATATCATTAAAATGAAATTTATAAAAATTTTCACTTCCAAATATTATAATTGTTGCAGCTATCAAATATATTAAGAATATTCCCAATTCTCTTAAAGTATTTTTAATTGCTGAATCATCTTCGTATCCTGTTAGAGTTGATTTACTTTTTATTTTACTTGATATTTTATTATTGATATTTTGCTTGGTATTTGAATTCATTATTTGCTATTATTTAATTATTCATTTTATTTGTTTACAAATGACAACAAAAATAAATTATTGTTGGTTTTTTGACATTAATAAAAAAACATCTATAAACAAATGATATTTTAATTGAAATGAAAAATGTATGAAATTTATGAAATCGAACTTGTACTAAATAGAAAAGTTTTTGATTTCATTTAATTTCTGAACGAATTTCGGAAAATAATTTTGCTTACAATAATTAATTAACGTAGGACTAAACTTGAATTTAGTTCGGTATTAATTGGATAGCATTTTACATTTAATGTCAAACAATAGTTTTGATAGCCGTTTACACATTAATCTTACATTAAATTTTAAACAATTAAAAAAAAAATAATTGTATTAATTATTCGGACTCCAACATAATCAAATAATTTTAGCACTTACAAAAAAATTGTAAAATTAAACGAATATTAAGTTAGATTAGGTTGGGTTGACGCGACTACCGTAATGTACACAAATAAAGCCGTTGTCATACTGCTGGATTCACAAACTCTCCCGCCCTCATACGAGTAAGAACCAGCCAGAGCTTCTCAATAATCGGCTAAGGTCCGAGGTATTTACATTCGTCAGGTTCATAGTACGTAAAAAGAAAAAACACCCAAGACATCTCCGTCTGTTCCTTGTCAAAACTGGATATAAGCAAAAGAGATGTGCTACTGTCTCCTTCTCCGCCTAGTATTATACAAAAATTATTCACAATTAGAATTTTAAAACTAATTGTTGTAATATTAACAGAAATCATTGGAATACTCGTATTAATAGAAATTAACTGTTATCGATGTTAAACTTAAATTTTCTAAAATAGTTAAAAATATATTTTCTTAACCATATTCTATTAATAAAATAATAATAAAGTTTTAATATATTTATAGTTTTAAAAGATTTGTTTCATAGAATTATTGGTTTTTGTGGTTTGTAATGAAATTACATGAATAGTTGTGTTCATATGAAATTCCAATGTCATTTCATACTTTAGCTAAATAAAATATAATATATGTCTGTATATATGTACATATATAATGTACAGAACAAATCAAGGAATTGATGAAATGAAGTTGTAAATTAATAACTATCTAACTTTTAAGTAATCAAATGGAATTTAATTGGATTGATTGAAATACGTATTCTTACCAATGCTTAGGTGTGTAAATTCAAACTTATTGGAAGATGTGATATTTTCATTTGATATATCTTATTGATAACCTTATTTGTGTTCGCTATCGGCGTATATTACACTCTAAACGTATTATACAACCATCCAAGCGTAGAACGACGGCCACAAACTTGTGTAATAGAATAGCCGAAAACAGTAAATATAACTTAAACTCCAACTACTTAAAATTTATAGGTTAGGATTCACTCTAGTACAACAGTACACTCTAGTACAATTAACGGCTCATTATTATTAATAAAATCATTAAAATTTTCAGATTTTATTTTATAATTTAAATATTCTTTGAATTTTCTTTCATTACAACCATTCAAATTGAGTTTCATGTTCTTTATCAATTTTATTTTTTATGTACGTATTTATTTTTGAAAATAAAAAAAAACTTTATTAGCAGTTTGTCAAATACTTAATAATAATAAAAAAAGGGATGTCGTGAATAAAACTAGATTAAAAAAATATTTGCCAAATCAAATATTTTTATTGCAGTGAGACAAAAAAGAAGATTGCACATGTTAGTCTTTTATAAATTAATACATACAATTCAACTACATACAAATACCCGCATATGTATACGAATGTAAGGCATAAGAAAAGAAATAATAATATTAAATACTATATCAATTACACTGAAATTAACTATACAAACAAACACATGTGGAAAAGAGAAAAAAAAATTTTAATTGAAGACTTTTTTTTTTATTCATCACTTAATTTTTTGATATGTCGACGACTTGTCTGTCTGTGGTTTTCTTAAACGCAACATTAATAAATTTATTGCCTTCATTTCAATGACAGCATCAAATAAAAAAAATGAAAAAAAAAAGTTATAAAACTAAACGGTAGGCAATAAAGCATTTTTAAGAAATAATAAAAAAAAAATTAATTAAAAATACAAACAAAAAAGATCTAGTTACAAAATTTTAATATAGAGAAATATTTAACACTGTACACATGTACTCGTATGTATACATGGTTGCATACAAATTGCGTATTTGTAACAATACGCAATTATATATGTCGTTGAATTTAAAAGAAAAGTGATCTTAAATTAATTGCCATGGCTCTACAATTATGACAGAATACTGTGAAATAATATGTCGTGGCAATAATATTGCTTTAAAATTATTGATTGACTTTCCAAAACGATAAATCCACGACTATGATCAATGAAGGCAAAAAATTGATGGCCGTTTGACAGTTCACAAAAGATTTAATATTAATTTTCTCTCAAATAGAGTTGATCTTTTGGGGTATCACAGCTGTCTTCAAGGTTTTTGTAATCATATGCTTCCAAAAAAACTTTTTGAGTTAAGAGTTAGAGGTAATGAATATAAATAGTTTGCAACCAATATTAGTGAGAGTTTAGAATTCGTTGAAATTGAAGAAACGCAATTCACTGTGGTGTAGTGCAGAACAGCACACTGGCGTTATAATAGACGAAAATTTTACATAGGCATCGAATTTGATGAACAATTGAAGAAATTAGGAAGCATTTTATACAATAAATTTAAAGGGACTTTAAATTTAGAGAAATAAACTAATCTGCAACTAAAAAATACATATAACTATCAATGTTCTATAGCATCATTCAATACACTATACAAGTACAATTGGCTCAACAAAAAGTTATAAAAAACCAGTATGGCTACTAAAGAAGAACTTCTACTTTGGACTATTTATAATTTATACTCTTACACCATTGCGCACTCTTTTAAATTACGTATCGCCATACGCTTTTCGGTATTTGTATTCACATATCTGTATCGCTCTTACGAAAAAGAAATACTATAGAATTACGGAAAGGAGCAGTTGCAAAACCGTGTTAAAAAACTTAACAAAAAGGTGGAAAACACAATTTTTTTGAACTTTTTTGAGTCGTTCGATGAATTGTCAAAAAAATTTGACAGCTATGGTATTTATGTATATAAATCTGAAGTAAAATTATAAAAGATTCACTTTGAGCTTTCATAAATATGTTTTTGATGAGAATATGCACTGCTGTTTAATCGTTTTTATCTTTATAGAATTTATTAGTTTATGTTATTGAAATTTGATTGCAATTGTAATTGTTACAATACTGATTGTGTATAGCAATCAGTTTAAATCGTAATGTATAAGAAAAAAGCGAAAATAGAAATTTTTTTAAAAATATAATAAAATGAAAGAGTAAAGGGGTAAAAAAATTAATAATATTTTTAATCTTTCTCGTTATGTACGATTATATAACAAACTGCATTAATTTTGCTTTTTTTTTATTTTTGCTATAACGACATCTTGTCTGCAGTGCTAAAAATTTAACGCCTTTCATTATAAGTAGAAACATAATATGTATACGAATTTATGTATTAATAAAAGTAATAAAACAGTTAAAAACTTATTAAAATACGTTCCTGTCATTATTCAAGTTATTATAAATTTATATTTTTAAGCTGGCATTATTTACTTGTCATATATTACATAGTAGTGTCATAAATGTCAATATTCTTAATTTAATAGTAAACGGCAAATTGTATTCATAAAGAATTTATGTACGTTATGTTACATAAATTCAAGTGTAAAACATTAATTAGAAATTGATTGGATTGCAATAATAATATGCAAACAGGTATAGCAAAAAATGTAGCAAAAAAAAAAAAAATTTCAGAGTAAGGTAATAACACAGCAATGTAAGTGCGTAATGTATGTGTATCGATTTGGGTTTGAGTTAAATTGTGTTATATGAATGAGTGTAGACGTACTTTCATATACTTGATCATAAACCCATAAATTCATTATACGTAAATTATTTACTTGTTAAGCTATTGAACAGCTAAATTTTATAGCCGTTCTTATAGGTTATATACGACATATACAAGCGTTCCAATTTTATGTTAATTTAGTTTTGTTCTTTTACTTGAATATTTTCATATATTGAATGTAAGGATATAATTTTTTTGTATTATATTGAAATTTAATGTATTAAGTAAGAATCTGACTAGACTGGATTATTACAGATTAATGTTAATAAATGGCGTCAGTATAAAATTTTTTTATTTATTAGTTTGCTCATTTTTTTTTTTAGAAAAACAAGAAATTACTAAATATTTGATTTCGTCAAAACGATCGATTTGTTTAGTTTAAATGTGATTATAGTATTGTACTTATGTATGTATATGTTCAATCAATCTGTTGTATTTCCTAATTGATTGAAATCGAATTCAGAAATTTATTTTTGAAGTTTAATAAAAGATTTAGCCAAATTTTTACTGAAAGGTTTAGAAATAAAAATTAAAATTGATATTTTAAAATTTTTTCATGTTCTCACCGCCTTTAGAAAATAAGATTTTTAAGACGTTGACATTTGACATTTATTTTGCATGTGATTGCATTGATTTTTTTGCTAAATGTTTTTTTTCCGAAGATATCATGTTAATTGTGTAAGACTTAAAATTAAATATTTGGAATTAATTGAATTCAGGATACCATGGCAGAGAAAATGCTCTTTTAGTTGTCAAATTATAAACCTCACCTGTCAAATATAAATTAGTGTCTTTATATACTGGTTTTTGTCAATCATTTGCGGTAAGCCAAGCATTTGAAAGAATTCAATTATATATATTTTTTAAATATGTCATTGTGTATGTACAATTATATAAAATAACTGCTTCGTGCCAAAATTCTGTCAAATATTTTTTGACATTTTTTAATTATTCCATTTGCTTCAATTTAATCAATTGTTTGTGCAAATAATCCGTCACGTTTCCTACATTTTTTTTTTCTTTTATTTTAACATTGAGTACGTTTCTCATCTTAACTGTATGTTATTTAGTTAATATCAATTAAATTTCAAGCGTCATATACTTTATGGATTGTATTGTATATTTTATATATTCTATATACAAAAACAAATTCTGATATAATATTCGAACTAATTAACTCATTTTTCGATATAAAATGAAATCATGAGTTAAATAAACAAATAAATTGTTTGATTTAGTTAAAAAAACGCATGTGTTGTATGTTTGTATGCAAGTACTCGTACATATGTACATGAAAACGCCTACATTATAACGTCATATAAATTTACTGAAAAATATTTAAATTAATGTCCAGACAAGTAAAATTTTTTTCATTTCAAAAAAAAAAAATAATAAAAATTTTTATGCGAAATTTAACCTAAAAATAATGTTAATGTAAATTTTTATTTTGTTTTGCGTTTTTATTGTGATTAATTAAAGGATTTCATGGTTTTCATTTGAATTTTTACTTTACATGTGTGTATATGCTTAGTAAGATTCAAAATTATAAAACAAATTTAGATGAAATTATGAAAATTATAGTAAATTTTTTAACTGAGAAGTAGTTCAATTTTTGAATGGCATTTAAGCAGAAAATTGTTGAATTCTTACTTTTAGCTTAAAAATCAAGATCAGGCTGCTTAACTGCCCTTCAATTTATTTTTTTCCTTGCTCCTGAAAGTACTAAAACTTTTCACTTTTTTTAGAGTGAAGCTTTAGTTTCTGTTAAATAGGCGATGACTAGCTGACCGTAGTTAATGTTTGTTCTGTATTTTTTTGACATTGATAGTGTTTATAGTTTTTATAGTGATCTGATGGGGATTTAATACCGAGACTCTTCATTTAAACGACTGGTGCCATAACCACGGCAATTGTAATCGTCCCCTTACCCAAAATTACATTCTATACTAAAGATAAGTAAATGCAACAAGCTCTGCAGGCTTAATATAGTTTGAGGGAAATATGCTAGTTATTTGACAAACAATTATAGCTCATCCTTTAAATAATTTTCATCTATTTGTAGATATAGTGTGTCCTTTATTATAATCTTTTTTATTTTAACAAATAACTATAATCAAATTTTCATTATTAATTCCATAGGAGGGACCGAAAAAAAAAGGATCTAATTTTAAAATATTTTATTTAGACTTCTTCTTTTTTAATATTTTCCCTTTTTTTCTGGGTTATAGAAAAGGACAAAGTTTAAAAAAAAATAGCATTAAGAAAAAAGTTTTTAAAAGATAGAAAAATCTCTTATTTTCTTCTTATATGTACATATATAATTAAAGCCCTTAAAAGGTCTATATTATTATGTTCCCAAATGATCAGTTTATTTTAATAATGAATAATAATTATTAATTATTAAACTTAAGAATATTATGTTAGATTTTAATGTTATTTAATATTTTAATATTAAATTTAATGATAGCAAAATATTTTTATATAATCCTTTATGTAAGCACGAGTATATGGCTTTACCTTTTCGTTTTTTGTTCCTTGTACCGCCGCTCATTGGCATGGTGGTTCTCTAAAAATTTGCAACCATTATTCTAATTTTTATTACCCTTGAACTTTTTATATTTTAATATTTGAAAATCTTGTATATTTTTATAGTCTATATATATATATATATATATACTCCTTATATAACAGTAAAGTAATTATTATTAACTACATTTATAAAATTATAACAAATTCATGACATTGCATATAAGGTCAGGATAATTTATTAGTCATAATTTTTTTTTTATTTTATTCAAAAAAGAAATTTAATTTTTTTTAAGAACTTTCATTTTATATAAGTATACATACGCTTTAAAATTCTTAAAAAGTATTATACAATAAATTATGTATGCATATACTCTTATATTCACAAAAGTATGTATCTATAAATGTACATAAAATTTTAAAGTTAAAACTATTCAAGAATCATATACTTTTATAGTAGTTACAAATGTTTGTACTTGTATAACAGTATTTTTAAATATTCATAAAATAGTATGCATATAATATTCATAAGGGTATATAACACGTAAACACAATAAATAATTCCTTTTTATTTATAATTTTATTTTATTTTATATTTACATGAAAACTTCTTTAATTCTACATAAAAATTATTTATATAGTATTATTAAAAATATAAGAGTAACTAATTTTTTAATTAAAATGATGCAAATTTAGCGTGTTTATGTATAATACTTTTCAATATAAAAAAATTTCTAATTGTTATATACATAATGTTGTACACCCATTCTTTTATATACGTGGAATATGAGTATTAATATGAGTAATAATATGTAATAAATATTCTGTTTTTGAAATCTGAAATGTTCTGTTTTAAGAATATGAATTTCAGGAAATGTGTATAACAAAACGTATTATGCCTGTTACTTTGTATTTGTATTAAATATTAAGTTGAAAATTTTACTATACAGTAGTACGGATTTTACACATATGTTGAATATTGTGATTCTGGTGCTCTTTTTCAAGTCAGATGAATTCAATGCTAGTTACAGCCGGCCACAAGTCATTCTTTTTTTTTGATATGTTCTTTTGATAAGGTATAGTAGAATTGAGGCACATCCTCAATTTGGCTGTCGATTAATAGAGGGGGCGTATTATTCATTGTATTTAATCTCAAGCATTTAGTTCTGTTGGTGTTGATTTGAAGCCGATATCCGCAGCCAACTTTTCTAGGATGCTTATTGTGGTCTGAATATCCGCATATGCATGAATTAAGAGGCAGATTACGTCTGCATACTCACGATTTTTCATCCCGCTGCTTAATTCTCATTTGATTCCTCTCGGTATCGTCCTAACTCTTTTCATTAGCTTTTTCGTCGAGTTTAAGAACCTTAATTTTCATTCAGTCGTCTAAATTTGACGACCTTTAGTTATTCATTTGACATGTTAAAATAATGGCCATAATAGGAAGTGAAGTATTTCGGTTTTGATTGCAGAAAAATGCGATAACGAAGTGGAATAATCGTTGAATGAGGCAGAGTGGTTTAACTTATTTATGTTAAATTTCGGAAATGTGATATAGCAATACCTCATTTATTATGAATAAAATTGCTGCTGAATAAAATGGTATTTTTATATATACTTATAAACTTACTCATACACCTATGCATACCAACATAAACAAAACACTTGTGAAATAAATTATGCATTAAGATCGACATAACTTGATAAGAACTTTGTTTTTGGGGTTTTTTTTTTTGTTTTTGATTTTCAGTTTACATTTTAAACTGAATGAATTTTTATCGCTTTATATTTATTTAAAATACCTACACACATATATACATTTACATATGTAAATACAAGGTTCCTCTATATATGTAAATGGACCCACACATAATATTTTATATTGCATAATTTTGTAAATGTGTAAATGTGTGTTATATTTGTAAATTGTTAAGAATATTCAAGAATTAAAAGAAATAATAAGAAAGAAAAAGAAAATGAAAAAAGGCAAGTGAGTGAAGAACACAAAACGAGAAAAAAGGCAAGAGGATAAAAAGAATAAGGAAATGAAAAAGAAAAATCAAATTTTTCGAGATAAAAACAAATTATATGTATATACACATATAACGTGTAGGTATTATAAGAACTGAAAATTCTGAACTTATCGCTTTTGATTTCTCTTCTTTTATATATAAAGAATAAACTTTATTTTGCAATATATTGTACTTTATATAGGTAGATAGCAAAAGAGGACCGAGTATATTTGCTAGTATATATATACTTATATAAATTACTATATTTATATGCTAATACAATCTACCTACAAATTAATAGAGTAGAAAAAAAGGAGCATAATATCATATAGAAAAGGATATACATTCATATAAGAAATGGTACTTGAAATAGAAGGTCAAGGATAAAATTCAATTGGGAATTTTTAAGTAAGATTTTAGTAAAATAAAAGTTAAAAAATAAAGTATTATTTGTAATATCTGGTAATCTCTTAAACTAACATGATTACATATGAGAGAGAAAAGACACAGAAGGGGAAGGGAAGCAGGGAAGGGGGGCGGCTTTAGTTTTTCTAATTTTATTCAATGAAGCATAAGCCATGTTCATATTGTTGAAAATGAAGAAGAAGTTGTTTCTTGGTTTAATGAAAAATACTGAAATAGCGAAAATAATTATAATATTTTTTTTTTAAATTAATTTAATTTTAAGACCAAAAAATTAATAGTTAACAAGAATTCCAAATGGGTCTGTTGAACCAAAATTTTAATAATTCAAATATACATATAATTAATTTTAATAGAAATATGGATGAAGGGTTAACTATAATTATTTTTAAAATTTTTTATTATTTTTTTGCTAAATTTCATGGATTTTTATATAAGTTACTATTTCGGATGGTCAACTAATGTAGTATGTAAATTGTGATAGAATTTCAGTTACGAAAGAATTTCGAAATATCTAGCTACATAGCATATATGTATTGCATAATTGAATAATATTAAATTAATTTAGAAAAAATTGCATATTACTGGGAGCTATTTAATATATTGTATTTTAAGTTGTTGTTACTATATTATTAAAAATTTTTTTTATTAAATTATTTTAATATAAACCAGATTAGAATTATATTAATAACAATCCAAATATGTTTGAAGGCATATAGCACTTTAAAATTAAAATTCAGTATGAATGAATTTTGTGTGAAAACATTCTATATTTGAATTTTTATGTAGGTATACGCAATATTAAGTATTCCATTGTACCAGATCCCATTGTATATACACTCATTAATTATTTATTCAATCTATTTTTAAGTTAGAACTGGTTAGAGTTTGTATTACAAGAGATGTCCTTATAATATAGTTTATTATACTATTTTGTATATTGGCAAGTATAAAATTGCTATATCTATAAAAGCAAAAAATGTTATAGTATTTTAAGTATATGTACATATATTGGTTATAAATTAGAAAATATTTATATTAATTTATAAATTGTTCAAATACATACAATGTATTAAAGTAAAAAATTTATATATTATTTATTATACAAAGAAAAAAAAGGACATTATTTATATTAGTATACAGTATAACATAAAAAAACTTATTTTATTTCATTCAATAATACATAATATATATGTACCTATTATTATAAATTGAATACAATTAATTCTCTAAATTGAATTCTGAAATTTGAAAACCTGAAAAAAATTGAAATCTTAATTGAATTATGCAATACATTAAAGCTATGATATATGGCTTTCAGCGTGGTATTATACGTTAATATTATATGATTATTGGAATTTTTGACTTAAAAAAATTAATGCCATCTATTTCAATTTAATGAAATCAAAAAGAATGAATAATATTTTGTTGGAGAGAGAATGAGTATATGTATATGATTATGTAAATGATATGAGTATATCATTCTCTCTTCACATGTATATCATGTCATGTATATTATCCTGCACAGTGTTCTGTTGCATATTGGTGTAGTTATGTATAGCTGCCGAAAAATATAAGAGAAAAATAAAGTTTTCAATAAAATATAAATGGAAAAAATGAGAACAGATAGAATTTTTTGTGTCAAATTGGTGATATTATAAAAGTTTTATAACAGCATTTAAAAAAGAGTATTGAAAATCTGAAGAGTATTGAAAATTTACATATTGTTATAACAGCAGCAATTTTTCTTAAAACTTTTCTAATTTCACGTTACTTTTAACATTTTGTAAAATTTGTCAGAAATTCAAATCACTTTTGAAGTTATACATATCAGCTGTCATTTAAACTTATAAAATATTAACAAAATTTGATTGGTTTAGTTACTGAACCAATTTCTGCAAACTTTGTTTAGTATTTAACGTTAATAACTCCCGAGATAGTCTGTTAAATGATTGTATAAAGTTATATTTGGAAGCTATATGAACGGCTTTCTCCTTTAAGATCAAAATGCCGAAAGATGGCGATCTTTTGCTATTTACGTCTAATTTTGCATCGTAATTGAGGAACCATATTTCGTGTAACATAGCTGCAACCTATGGCAATCAGATGAATAAGTTGTCAAGTCTCTTTATACGAACTTTTTTACAAGTATTTATTTGAATAACATTGCATATATTCAGGCTGACTAGCTTAATACAATACCATAGTGCTTATGTAGAATAAAATTTTTTTCTTTTTACCTTCTATAAATTGTTTATGTTTAATATTATTTTTAATTTAAATTCTCCATATTTAACATATGTATTTAAATTTTTTTTCTCAATTTTTTTTTTACAGATATCTTCAGAGAAAAAACGATGCATTGATTGAAAATGAACGAATTTCGATTATAAAGAGGAGATCTTTTTCCTAAAAGTGAAAATAAACCAATTACAATAATACCGAAAAAAAAAATTGTTTGCAAAAAAAAAAATAATTGATTTTTATTATTTATTTTTTGTGTTTGTTTGCTGTTTTTCATTTATTTTTTGCAAAAAAAAAAAAATACTGTTATCATTTTAAAAATTTATTAGTTTATTTTTACTTTCAAAATAATATTTACATTAACAGAATAAAGAAAATAACAGAATATATATATATAAAATAAATATATAAATAAGGAAAACAAAAATGATTATAAGAAGTTTTATGGTATTATTTTTATTTATTAATATTGGTTTAACGGCAGCACCAGACAAGGAAAAAAAAGAACCTCCCGTAAGTCTTTCTAAAAATAATTGAAATTAATTTTGAAATTATTAAAATTGTATACTTTCTGTGACTCTTAAAAATAATTATCAATTCAAATACAAAAGGTTATGGCCTTTAGGAACAAATGCTTTCTATATAATATTTTAATACACGCGTTTATTATACATAATATATATATTTACATATATTATTTATTTGTTTATTATATTGTAAATTTATATATATTTAAATGTTTAAGGGTGGAACGAAAGTATACTAAAATCATTATTAAAGTTTTGATGGAAAATTGACTGAAGCTCACAAGACCAATCAGTAATTAGGAAACGTTGCTTAAGCGTCATACAGCGAAACCAAATCAAACAATTGTAACAAAACCGGGGTGATTCCATGTTGACAGCTGTATGACTTAAACGTTGAAGTTTGTTTTGGAGAAAAGGCGAGAAAAAGATTTATTTTACAAAATTGCAATACAAAAAATCTATTATACAATATTTTTGGTTATGCTTTATTTGGTATATGCTTTATAAGGTATTGCTTGATAAGATCGCCACTAATTTATATAGAAAAATAAGTGAGCATGTTTTAAAATATCAAGTTTATGAGAAGAGATAGATGAAATCTCATTACAACTTCTAGTGGAGATCACCAATACGCTTATAAAAGAATGGAGTTTTAACATATTCGTATTTAATACAGAATGATAGGTGTCAACAGTTTACTTAAATTTCAATAAAATTTTCAATAATTAATTTTTATTGTTAGACCACCTTTTGTAGTGTACATACATACATATATAACAAGTTTTTACAAAGGAAAAAATAAGAAAGAAAAAGAATAAAAATAGAGTTCAATCCGTGTTCTTTTTAAATTTTATTTTATTTACATATTTATTTTTCTGCGATAATATTATAATGTGTTTTACAAAAAGTACTGGAATATTTAATTTATGATGGGGAGAAGTATAAGTGTTTTTTTTTTTTTGTGCAAAAGTTATTATGTGATTGTCAATGTCACGCGTTTGAATGTTTACGGAGGATGATCTAAAATAATGACGTTTTATATTTTGATTAATCGATTCGTAATAAAATTTTATGCAATATAATAATATTATACAGAAATTTTATATACATACATACATATTATTATTTATTATGTAGTTTATAGTACATAAATAATACCTGTGAAGGTTATTATATAGGGTATATAAAATATTTTTTTATGGGAGTATGGTGCTCTGATGCGTATAATATTTTCATATACTGGTACCTACAAATTTTATGGTATACGTATATGAATATCATTTCTTTACAAACTAATGAACTAAAAATATTCAATATTTTTTCATATTAGAAATTAACACTCTCTTTGAGCCATTAACATTCTCGTAATGAGTGTAAAAGTTATAATAACATTTATAACAGTTTATGGGATAGTATAATTATTATACAATGATTCGATATAAAATGTTATACAAAATTATATTTTTTTGTGCTTTAGAAATAATTATAGGAAGAGAAAAAAGAGGAAGAATTTTTTTCCTCATTTTGAAAATTCGGGCGTTCGTACAAAATTTTCAATCAAACAAAAATTTTAATTTGAGTGACACATGTATTTATGCAAAAATGAAATATCTTAATACTTCGTTCGTTCTTTCAGAATTCATATTATATATTCAGAATACATATTCAGTTCTTCAGAATTCAGATTATTTTCTTAATCTTCGGAAAAAATCTACTGTTCGACTTTCTGAACATTGAACAGTGTAGCAGGGTTAAAAAATGTCCGCAATTTTTTTTTTTGTATAATTTTACGTCGCTGATACTTACACTTTTTCATTTGAATTATTTATGTATACCTGTTAAAGCGATTATATAACATTAACGCTCGCTATACGCAGCTATTGATCCTAGATAAAATTTTTGCTTTTTCTATACTTTATTCTTTTATATTATACAAAATATTTTATAATGTAGCTATATAAAAACTCAATGAAAATTTACCTAATTACCAATGCGATAAACGTATATAAAAGATATTGATAAAAATCTTTGGTGTTAAAATAATTTTTTCTTTTTGTTTTTTTCTATTGAGTATTTGCGATTTATTTTATTATGTTTTGAAATTTATAAGCTTAACATTTTAATTGGAATTTTAAATAAACACAAGTAAAATAGTACGAAGTATTCAACCTTCAAATTAATTATTTTATAAAAATTTTTTTGCTAATTAGTAAACTTTAGAGAGTAAAATATATTGCTGTTTAGTTCTCCAAATTAGAATTAGTATGTTTAGAAAATACATATTTAATAAGAAATTGTAAACAATAAAATTTTTTTTTGAATTGTTTCGAAACAATGCAAGTCTGTTTCTTTTTTAAATCTTATGACAGATTAAACTATCATAGCAAAATGTCATCAATGCTTTTTTAAACTTCGTATTTTTGCAATTTTTCTTAAAAATTTTTGATTGCTCTAAGTCGTGATTTATTTTATAAACTTATACGATACGTATACGAGGTGTGTTCATCTTAAGTGTCGTTCACGACAAGTATATATCGTGTATAACACCTAGAATTATCATGCGAGTGTCAAGTATTACACAGTTGCAGGGTAATTCTAAGTGCACTGTTACGGCATATGCATTCTAAATAATATAAAATAAAGATGGGTGGAGATTGAAGAAAACGAGAATAAATAAAATAACGAACCCATTTTAAGCTACACTTACTTAATTTTGCAAAATTTAAGAAATTTGATATTGTATGTACTTTGCAACTATGCAAGTATGGCAATACTGTACAGCAAGCATACCTTTGTATATTTTTGCAGATTATTTATAATTATTTTATAATTTTATATTTATTTAAAAAGTATCAAGAGTGTATACTTAACATAAATTCCCACCAATATTATAAAAGCAATGAAAAAGAGAAAATCAAAAAAAAAACTATTGAATTCCCTTATTAATTTAAAACATGTTAAATTGTTATAAACATTTTCGATTTCGCACATATCAAATTAATAAGACAACAAAAATAGTGTACATAAATGTAGTTGCTTTATATTGTTTGAAAATCAATGATTACACGTTCACACATGCATACGAGACGTATAATTGCCAGTCAATTCATAGTTATTTGTAGTTGTTTACATGCAAAGCTTACGATGATACAGAAGAGGAACGGGTTCAGGTATTTTTAAAATATAATGTGTAGGTTTGCGTATAGGGTAAATTTATCAAATTCATCAAAATGCTAATATATTTTGTTTAAGGAAGGGGTGTGTCAAATAAAAGTAGTTATGCACAATTCAATATAAGGAATTGAATAGAATGAATGAATTGTGTAATCTGTAATAAAATGAACTTGTTAAAAAATTTATTTTTTTTTTATTATCATTTTATGGTTCATTTAACGAAAAATAACATGGCATAATAATATATTTTAACAATATACAATTGAATAGATGTGCAATCTAATCAGATATCATTGGATAAATTGAACATTTTGATGCACTTTTCTAAATTGACTTTTCTATATGTAACCAAGGCTATAAAACACAATAATTCTTATTATGATAAATGGGTTGTTGGGAAATACTACAACAATCGGATTATAAATAATAAAAAATACTGGACAGGCAGATAACAATTATATTGAGTATTAATTTTACAATATCGCATAGTGAAGTATCAGCTGTAACTGGATTTTTTATTATCACTTTCTTTAGTCACCTTCACATTTGAATTCTTATATTTTTAACTGCACTTGCCATTTTTCCCGAAAGATTACTCATTTTTTAATGGGAGTTCTTAAATTTTTCTCAATATTTAGTTTTCTCATTTTTGAAATATCACTTTTCAAAACAAAGCCACTGCGAACGTTGACTAAAATTGGTATAATTATGTTTTGATAAAGAGCGGAGTCCGTGACCGTATAGTACAAAATTACTGGCTTTGTGAGTTCACTCACTCACTTTTTTTTTGTTCTGTAATGAAAAAGCGGGATACGGAATGAGGCTTTAAATATTGGAGTAAGACACTGTTTTTTTTACTATTTCTCATGCATATACACACATAAATACATACATATTTAATATATACAAGTAACAGAAAAATATTTACAAAAATAAAGAAGAGGTTCTTTAAAGATCTAAATCTTTACAATAAAGTAAAAAGACAAAATATAAGACAAAAAAAAAAAAACAAGAAAAAAAATGAAAAAGAACCACAAAAAACATAAAATTGAACACCTGTGCGTAACAATAGCGCAAACTGCTGAGATGTGAATTGATCGAATCGAAAGTGTATAAAACATAAAAGTGAAACACTCAAAGTCAAGAGTTTTCTGTTCTTTTTTTATTTTTATGTCTTTTTTTTCTTTTTCATTATTGTTTGGTTGTTGTTATTTGTTCTTCTTTTGTATATCTTTTATGTATTTTCTTTTTTTGTCAGTTCAATAATCGACATCCCAAGTACTTACTCTTCGTTGCCGTTGTTTTGTGAAAAAAGAAGTAAAAAGAAAATAAAAACGTAAATGATAAACAAAAAAAAAAAAAGAAGAAAACCAAAATCAATTCGACATTTGAAAGAAGATGCGACGACGAGATCTTCGTAAACGTATTTGGTACTATAGAGAAGACGCTGTTTCGTCTGGTTGGTTTGCTTTGGTATTTTTTGATTATTTTTTTTATTCATTTCATTGCTATTTCATGTCTTGTCTTCAAAAAATGAAAAGAAAAAAATGACCTGTGCTGTGACCAAAAAACAAAACCAAGAAGAGAATGAAATTGTAGATGAAAAAAAAAAGAATACCCATTTAATTCTTAATAACTTTGAACAAATACAAACCGACAGTTCGACTTTTTTTTCGCTTCGCTATTTTGTTTTGTTGTTTTGTATTTGGTTATACCTGCATATCTTATTTTGGTTCCTAATTTTAAGTAAATTTTTATTTACAAAGCTTGCCATCCCTCATTTCTCATCTCTTCTCAATGTCCGCTGAAACA